TTCACCTTTAGTGACAAATATCAACAAGAGTGACTCCGTGCTGAACACTGTTTTACTGCACGTGTAGACCAGGACGTACTGTATTTCAGAAAACCATGTCAAGCCATATTTAGCATGGTTTATTATATGGCACATAGGGTAGAAATGTTCTGCATGCATAATGAACCGTTTACAGTGTATTTAAGAAAGGGAAAGCTGTGCCTTTTTTAGCATCATATCTAATTTACCATTTTACACTATCTGTTGTAAATAACCACACAACCTTTTTCAGTTGTATTTAAGCCTATTTTTCTGTACATTTTTCTCCATTTTTGTCTACTGCTTGCAAGTATATGTGACTTCAGCTCATTTTAGGATTACTGCTTCATATTTCTGTAGGAAACTACACTATGTGGTCTTTGCAGCTTTATGGTGGTTTCATTTAACAAGACATTACCATCTCTCAAAAGCTTTTGCCAGCTTTATGATGTGGTGAGTTTCTGCCCTCTACTCCAGATTACTCAAGGAGATAAAAGCAAATCATAGGATGTTAAATCATTTTTTTTTCCTTTTTCAAAATTAAAGTTTCCCAAATTCTTTGTTATTCCTTTTACTATTGAATGCATGTAACCTTTTAAAGGTCCAGTTGTCACCTCTGATTTAGGAGAGTGAATTTCGATTATGGTTAAGGGAACATACAGATTATTACAGTAAGTATACTAGATATATTTTGATTGGCAAGGATGAATGGTACGGTGCTGATCCTGGCAGATTATTTTGGTGGGGTTTTTAGTTATAAATTCAAAACATTAATGTAAAAATGTAAGCAGACCTACATCTAAACAGATACTTTCACTGTGAACATTTCTATCTTAGTTTTCAAAACCATGTCCTCTGGTGTAAAGCTATGAAGATGCACCTTTCATCGGGTGACTTTCACAATTTGTAAATAAATACAAAATTCTGGAGTAGAATAGAGACCAGATTAACTTTTCTGAACATCATTGTTACTATTATATACTAATTTGAATAGAATAATTTTTCAGAGAGTTATGATTCCTAAATTGTCTGTCTGGGCGAGTGACATTTTTGAGCTAAAGCTGTCCCTAGACTAGTCAGAATGTAGTATTCTTATAAATGGTAATCTAATAAACTCAACCCCTACACCACCCCGCTTTCTGATTCAAAACTCTGAGGTGTGCTTCTGGCACATGCAAGACAGAGTCAACACCGCTTGTCTTTTTAAATGACACCTGCCTTATGCAATGGGTAATCTGTAGAGGCTGTATTCAGAGAGGGGAATCTTACGGTATATATAAATGTATACATACATATATTATTTGCAATTTTGGAAGTCTAATTCATAGGTAGATCCTTAAATACAATCAACTGACCTGCACAGCAATATGAAAGCTACATGTCCAACATGATAAATACACAGCATGCAGACTGGTTGTTTACAGTAAAGAAATGGTCAGAAATCCTTTCATTTACTTTTTTTTTTCTTTAAATACTGATAATGGAATTTCAGAAATAGCCAGGTTTGGGGTGAATACAGTCTGCAGCAACTTTTTATATTAACGAAGTTACTAGCTCCTTTTCTATCTCTAAGTAACTTTGCTTGGTTAAAACAGCAAAGCCATATTCTAAACTTCACCGTTAAATGCCTGTCCCAGTACAAATTGTTGTCTGTTTGCTCTTATTTTTGTACCTTATTGCTTTTAATCTTGGTTTGGTACAATTCATAATTCACAGAAACTTCATATAATTAAAAACACACTAAATTAGTTTTAAAAAGCAATTTATATCTTTATGCAAAAACGTATGTCTGTCTTTGCAAACAACTGTAAGAAGATTACAATAAATCCTTTACTTTAATCACCTGTTGTTTATGAAACCATTCATTGATTTTTTTTTTTGCTAGAAATCATTCAATAGATATAATTGGATACAGATGTTTTAAGAGACAGTATTCTCTTCTCCAGAACACTTAAGCAGAATAGCCATCTCACATTAACTAACCAAATCTACAGCAAAAAATATAAAATACTGTTTTAAGCTACAACAAAGAAATGAAAGTATTTTGAACTTGTTTAGAATGAAATAGGCATTTGTCTCCTGCAAAATATAAGATAAACTCAATGAAATTTCAAAATGTCTGTTTTAAAAGTGGGCTTATGCTGATTGCATTAAATAATTTTGTTGCAAGGAAAGAATGGGGATATACAACAAGAACATTGTATACACATTTAAAAATGTAAAATAGTTTTAATGTACTGCAGCAGGTATTTCAGGAATACTAGATCATAATAAACTAGAAAGGCTAAAGTTTGCAATATCAAATTCTTATTAAAAAGATACTTTACAATCAAGCTAATTCACAGGGTGGTGTTTTCACTGACTTGTATAAACATTTATGAATTTAAAACAATCTACAACTAATGCACTTTTAATTGTTAAAGATTTGACTTTCTTTTTGTAGAGCAATGTTCTCAGCTGGAGGTCAATGACTTGATAAAATAGACAGCAGTTCTGAGGTCAGTGGAATGTTTAAGAATTCTTGGATTTTAAATAGATTTTTGGATGAAAAATAAAAGCAGTCAGCACTATGGTGTAAACAGTAAAATCTATGCATAATGATGCATTTATAATTAGGGATTTGCTTCTGTATGGTTAAAGCTTTTTAAATAAATAGAAAATATTGTTTGGTCTTTGTTAATGTCTGCAAGTACACTTTTTTTTAATATAAATTGTACAAATATACATGGATTAAAATGGTTTGATTGCAAGTATTCCTTGCCACTTTAATCTTCACTAGCGGATGGTGCATTGATTTCCTTGGAAACAAGCCTGTGTTCACTTCCAAACAATCTATTTAGACAACATGAAACTAATTGCAATGTTACATGATTGTTGTAATTCTTCATGCACACTGAAATCTATTTTACACAAGCCTCTTTATAAGGGTGGGTTGTGGTAGCGCTAACACACACACATCACAGTGCCTGTTGACAAGACAGGGGCTCCAGGACGGTAGCAGGTTCTACCTTGGGAACTTGCTTAAGCAAGTTGGGCAACTGTGTTTTCCAGGGGAGCAGGCATGAGACTGTTTGACACAGAAGGCGAAGCACGTCTCATACAAAAGAAACATGAGTGACAGACAAAATGATGGCCTATGAAAAGATTTAGCACAATAAAAGCTGGAGTTAGGCTCTTACCTGTAACTTCACTTGGAATCTACTCTTCTACAACCAACAGCTACTTTTATTGTCCACGTAATTAGAATTTTTCCCCACTGCACTATTGATTGCACAAGTTCAGAATGCTAGGAGTGTGCACTCTAATCCTCTGAATTTCAGGCAGCAGTGCCAAGAAATCTTAATCCTGCCCTACATCTCTGAAACTCATTCAGCAGAAAAGAATAATAGTGACCTCACGAGTGGAAAGGCAAAATAACAAGCCTCTTCCCAAAATGCTTGAACGGTGTGACAGTCAAATGTGTTGATCTGTTAAGGTTGTGTGTTTTGGAGAACCAGTTTGATGAAGTTAGGTTATGGGCAGTGCTTAATTCGTAACTGATGCGGCAAGCCTAGAGGTGCCGGAATTCGGTGCTGGTTTTGGGTGTCTGAGATGGAAGTAAAAGCTTTATGGAGTGTTTTGGGGTATTGTGGTCAATACAAACATGAAAAAGAAATGTACAATTCTCTCCCCTTAATTCTCATTTATTTAACATTTTGGGTGACTGGGAAGTGTCCTACCTCTACTTTTAAACAGCAAACAAAATTTACCTTTAGTGACAAATATCAACAAGAGTGACTCCGTGCTGAACACTGTTTTACTGCACGTGTAGACCAGGACGTACTGTATTTCAGAAAACCATGTCAAGCCATATTTAGCATGGTTTATTATATGGCACATAGGGTAAGTTAATCCTAACCCAGTTCAGCACTGGGACAGCTGCAGCCTTGCTGTTTAATTAGACAATGCAGCTGAGACTGGGACAGCAGGCATGGGTGGGAAGGGTACCAAAGAGAGTGAGTGTGTGTGTGTGAGTTAAGGGGACCTCAGTTATCTGCATGGTGAAATTATAGAGACCCACACGCTGAAGCTAAGAGCAATGCACCAGCATGGAAAGGCAGGGCTTGTCTACACAGTAACAGAAAATCAGCAGTCATTCTCCCCTTTGGTTATTTCAGGGCTAGCCTGTGTGTGGTCACTTAATCTCGAAATAGGGCACTCTTCTTTTGGATTATGTGAGTGAGTATAGACTTATGTTAAAACAGAGCACACATTGTGTGCACACAGACTTGCACTGAAGTAACTAAATATATGAATTACAACCAGTTTGATTATTTCAGTTCCAGTTATGTAGCCAAGTTCTGAAAGCTCTGCAGCGAGTCCTCTGCTGTATGTGAGCAAGAATGCACCAGAGAGAAAATTAGAGGGAAACCTGCCATGAAAAGCAGTAAGAAGAATGATTTTCTCAAGCCTCTGAGTAGAGTTAAGCACAGAAGTTTCTACTGAGCCTGAACTTCTAGAGCCAAGGCAGAATAATGGAGCAAGAGCTTGCCAGCAGGGGAGAAGAGAAGAACCTTGTCTAATTACTGTCATATACTGAAGATCCTGCTGATCAAGGGGCCCTGGAGTCCTAGCTCCTGCATGTATTGTTTGGCCTAGGG